TTCCCAAATATCAAAACTTACAGTAATCACCACTTTTCTTCCCCACCTGAAGGGGTGCATAGGATGGTGACAGTGACTACAGTTGTCTCTGCCACTCTTTGGTTTTAAAATATTTCTCAATCAACCATTCTTCACTCCTCTCCCACACTTGGACTACTACATTTTAAAATAATAATTTACATTTTGTTGAAATGTGCGTTACACTGGCTACATATGTTTTTGACTATCCTTTCTCTGATTATAAAAGTAAAATATGATAGACATAGACCATCTGAAACCAATGTAACACATACTGAAAACAAGAAAATGACAATTTCACCAACTAAAGCTACCAAATTTTTGATGCTTGCTGTAATCTTCTCTAACAATGCAGCTTTTTAGTGTACATCTTGGGGGTGAGATAATAAGATTTCATAAGCCTCCGCTTATGAAGAAAACTTCATGAAATATTACTCATAATTGCTGCATGATACTCCATAAAATGCAAACAGCACAACTTATTTAAAAACACTTCCCTATGGGCATTTAATTTAATCCCTATGAAATAAATTGCAATAACATTTATGTCACAAAATCCTCATCTGGAATGAACAATTTGGCAGATTAAACCTCATCTTTTAAGGCAATAAATGAGGCTGAGGTTTATACCCTGAGGCCCTGTCCTGTCTAGCTAAGAAACAATTTTAAAAGAATAGTATGGGAATATTACAATTAAACTTTTTTTTTTTTTTTTTTTTTTTTTTTTTTGCTGTTCAGTATGCAGTGAACTCGTCTGTTCCCCCACCCCCCATCCCTTTCCTTTTTTATTTGTAACCACTTCTCTGTGTCTCACTGTTTGTGAGTCCTTTCTGGAACAGGTCCAGTTCAGCTGGACCTGCACCGAGCTCCCCTGCTCCCTTCTCTCTGAGCATTCATCTGTGGTAACAATAAAAACATGCTGTCCATGAAGGTGCTGACAAGATTGGCAGTGGGTCAGATGGGAAAACATATTCTAACGCATGTTAGACACAATGGAGCAGTAATGAGATCTGTGACTTCTATGTCCCATGTGCACCAAAGACCCTGTTCCTTGTGGCAGGAAAGAACTATGTGGATCAAATTAAGCACGAGTAAATATCTCTTTTGCAATATTCTTTCAATAGCTCCATGAGTCACTAAGTTTTGTGGATAACTTTATAAATTCCTTTTAAATGTGGCTTTCTCAGCATGTCTCTTTAGTCCAAAAAAGTTACTATAATAATATAACTGTAGTTCTCAGATGCTTTATTTTCTGCTTAATGATATATGTGCATGTCATGTGGCTGTGTGTGGATCATATGAATATATTAGGGATTAAAACCCAGAATTTGTATTTCATGGACCCACAGTAAAATTCAATAAAACTACATTTAGATGCAAGGAGGAAAGAACAACATGTGGCTTGAATTTTTCTTAAAATACACAGGGGACAGTAAAAGGGAAAAAGTGCTTGGAACAGAGTGTATCTGGAGCTTTGCCAAACTCATACCGTTTAAACAATGGTTTAAGGCTGATTTCAAACCTCAAGCAGATCTCTTTAAGATGCCCTGAAGGGTATGTCTAGGTAGCATTTGAACTCAAAAAGACAATGAAAATACTCTGAATGAGCAACGTGGGAATGCTGGATTTGAAGCAGCCCTTTAGCCCTCCTGAATTCAAGGATCTCCCACCTACATTTAGATCCCCGTTCTGTCCCTAAGCCCACAAAGAGATTGTCCTTGATTTTTCTAGTAGTTTCTTTAATTTCCTATTTTCAACTCCAATCCCCATCCTGCCCCTGAACCTCCATGCAGATCACAGATCCAAAATCTGAATATGACTAAAGCCAGCCTGGCCTGGGCATGCCCCAGATCTATCTTTCCTTCCCATTTCATAATTAGGGACTAGGAGGAATAAGGATTCTTAGCAATTTAAGACGAGGGCTTTAGATCTCGCTGTAATTTATAAGGATCTGTGTATTATTTGTGCATTTGGAAATGGCACATCTCTTAAGAAGTGGGCTTGATGAGGAATGGGTGGCTTTGGTGACCCGTGCTTCCTCTCCTAAGGCGTTCTATTTCCATACTCTTCTGGAGTTCCTGTACTAGTGCCAAGCAAGCAATGACACCTCTGAGTCCCAGGACATGTGTTGATCAACCTTCCAAACCCCAAATGTTCCAGATGAATGCGGAGTTCAGCAGTGCCACCTCCAGCTAACTGGCTCAGATACCCTCAAATGCAACTAGTCTTCCTCCCCAGCTGGACCAATGCCAGTCCACTTAAAGAGATAATTGACCACAAGCCAGCCTGGCTGACAGGTTTCCTGAGTGCCAGATGCCAGCAGTGCCAATTCCAGTCCTTGCAGGAGGGCCTGTGCGTGTGACCATAGCTCATGTAGCTTTCTTTACCCTCCCTCTGCTTCAGCTCTTTTAGTTCCCAGAGAAATAAAACCAAATAGATCATGATTAGTTGTTTTCTCCCTGCCTTTATTTTAAGGACCTGTGCACTAGACCTCCTGCACCCTCCTTGGTTCTCCTTCTTCCTCTTGGTTCTGTTCACTGAGTTAGGTAGGATCCGGCCAAGCAATGGTGGCCTTTCCATCCTCCAGGCAACCTGGAGCGTCACTGTTACCTCCATCAGTGCTTTCTTACCGAGTGTTTATTATTATTATTATTATTATTATTATTATTATCTTCATGAGTTGCAATGGCCATAAACTTATAGATGCTTCTGCTTCCATTTCTGTCCACAGCTAACTTTCCCTTTAGTCCAACAAGTGGCTGGGGAACCGCCCTGGAGATCAGATGGGACCATGTACCAGTTGAGAGGGTTACTAAATCATCGCCATTAGCTTACTGTTCTCATCCCCAGCTTGTGCGGTTCTCCAAACACTTTCATTATTGCCAGGGCAGTACTTTGGGAATGGCTTGATCCCTGGTAACACTTTTCAAATCAGCAGGGCAGGCCAGCTCCAGTGTCTGTGGGTGTGTTTTGGGCACCGGGGTATAAAGATCTGACCCCATGAGGAGCAGGGGCTGGGGGCTGGGAGGAGAACGCGGTGCTGTCAACACTGCCCCGCCCCACCCTGCCCAGGCTCTGCAGCGTGGGCAGTGGGTGCCTGTGCGGGTGAAACTCCTCACAGCTCAGTTACCTTTGAACAGCTAGCAGATAACCACTTAGATGAGAGTTTTCAGGGCGGTTAGGGGCTTTAATTGGGGAGCCTTCGCTGGAATCAGAGATTTGGCACAAAAGCTCTCTTCTTCTTACTTTCTTTCTACACTCTCCAGTCTCCAGGCACCACTTCCTTTGGGTGCCAGGGTCCCTTCCTGATGAGAGCTTGCTTTGAGGATCATCTCTACGCTGCCGTTGCCTCCCCCTCGTCCCTCATCCTAAAAACAAAACAGCCCTTTGCCCACTGTGGTTCGGAGGTGTCCACAGCAGGGGGCGGAGGGTCTTGGGGAAAGGCGAGGGTCACTCCTCTTTTCCCAGGGCTTCACTCTTCTGGCAAGGGTCTGGGGTCAGCCCCCTGGGCGCACCTACCCTTCGCCACGCCCCTCTCCCGGGAGTGGATCTTGAGCGCCACTCAAAGCCCTCTGGACCCCTCTGGCAGGTGCGGGTAAGGAGAGGGACCCCTGGCGCCTAAGGATCCCTGCTCAGGGCCCCAAGGTCGCCTGGCCCCTCAACTAGGGACTCGGTCGGGGATTCGGGCATCAGCTCACTGGAAGGTGGCCAGAAAAACCCAGACTCCAAACTCTCTGCAGCTCATCGACCCCCATGCCAGGGTCCTTCCTTGCTTTCAGCAGCCTCAGGCAGGTGGAGAGGAAAACCCTGCGGGAACTTTTTTGAGTCTAAAAGCTGACAGGAGTTACATGCGCTGCAACACGGAACCCTAAAAAGTCGGTGACCTGGCTGAGACATGTCTCCCAGAAGGCGGACTCCGCTGCGGGTCTGGCCTTAATAAGACTCGTAAATAAAAATAAAGGGCAGACACAGGCGTCTATTTAAAAAAAAAAAAAAAAAGTAACCCACACTTCTCCAGCGGTATTTCTGTGGGCAGGTCACCTTTTTGGCTTTTACTTTCTTCCGATGGGAAATGGGGGGTGGGGGGACTTGTTGAGCGTGGCTGGGCAGACTGAAGCGGGTTCAAAGCGGAGCTTTGCGGGATGCCAAAGAGAGGAGCCAACCCGTTCCCCAACTTGTTCCCCGCACCCGGCAGGGGCCCTGCTCCTGCAACAGTTCCACTGCCGCCCACACTGGACTGCGGCCACCAGGGCGGGCAGCGGGGTCCAGGCTCTCACCCACCCGGCATTCTGTGGCTTTGCCCCGGGCTCCGGGGGCCGCTCTTAGCCCGCAGGAGTCCAGAGCAGTGCGCAACAGGTCCTGGTAAGCGGGGACAGGTGCTGCGCACCTATTGACCACGGGCCACTGTGTCAGAGCCCAGTGTTCCACGCCGAACTCACTGCTCCTCCCGGTCCAGCCACGCACATTTAAAGGAGAGAGGTGGGCACCGAGTCCCCAGCTGCGGCCTGCCCTGGGGACAGATTGGCCAGTGATGGTGACCAAAATGCCACCGTTGCGGGTGTTTGCTAATTCAGTCTGGAGCAAGCTCAACTAGGAAACCAGCGTGATGAAAGTCGGTAGAGGAAAGACAAGGGACAAGAAGGAGCAATGGGAAAACCTGTCGCTAGGAGCAGCTCGCCTGTGGGAAGTTGGGAAGTTTAGAAATAAAGGACAGTTTGAGAATTTTCAAAGCCCCCTGGTCCACCAGTGGGCCCTGAAACAGTGGCCTTGTCACTGGAGAAGCTAAACACCTCCACATGGGCACCAGTAGGTCCAGAGAGAAGCTTTAATGCACAACACTGCGTACAACACCGGCAGACAAGATGAAGTCACAACCCGAACGCGGGAGACACCGGCCAGGCCGGGCCAAACGGACCCCTCCGTACTCCTCCCCCTTCGTTCCTAGAAGTCTGTGCCAAGTAAAGTGCTATTCCCAGGGCTCGAATTGGGGAAGGGTGACAGCGACAAGGCAGATTTCTTTTCCACTCACAAACTGAGACTGAAGAATTCGCTTGAAAGACAGGGAGGGCCCCTCTGAGCGCAAAGGTGCGGGGAGCCTGGGAGGGAGCCGCCACCGACGGACGCAGGGCTGTCGGGTGCTGCGGCAGGGTTGTCGTGCGTTCGTGAATTAGGGGTGACTTCTCCCCCTTAACATCGCAAAGGGAACGGATCGTGGGAATTCAGTGCATTCTTGGGCTCCTCACCCAGGCTCTCAGGCGACTGACACCCAGGCGATTGGCTGGTGAAAGCCGCTTCCACCGTCTCTCTTTGGTTGTGTTCCTCCAAACTTTTACTTTTGGAATTGGGGCCTTGCTTTGAAAGCCGCTGCCGTTCTCTTTCGTGCAAACTAATTGCATTAGCAGCTCCTCCGATCCTTCTCGACCCGAAGGTCAGACCCCAGAAGTGTACTTTTCCCAGAGCCCTTTCCTCAGTCCGTCACCCCCCCCCCCAGCGACTGTATTCGAGACACCGTGTCCGCCCCGTTTAGCTGACCAGAAAAGTGACCGCATCAAAGGCACCCTCTCCTTTTTCTTATCCGCAACGAGAATTCCTCGGTGGGTGGACGTGCACTGGAGCCGGCTGCCTGGCCAGGAGGACCCGGGCCGAGAGGGGACATTGGTAGGCGCGATCCGGCTGGCGTCACCGCTTGATTTTTCGGGGGAGGGTCGGCATCCAGCTGCAGCTCCCAGGAATGGGGTCAGAACCCATGTCCGATGTGCCAGCGAATGAGGCTTCCCCAACCTCCCTTGCTCCCTTCCCCCATAATTTATTGATCATAATAATTACAATAGAAACTCTTACCTGGAAAGGCTTTCATTAATCTGATTGTACAACTCAGTATAAACAGCCACCCGGAGGGTGCACTTTTCCAGGGTCACCACCCGAGAGAGCACTTTTCGGATCTGCTCGTCTGTCCTACACTTTCCTTGGGCGCCCGGTTGGGGCTCCCGGCTGTGCCCGGCTCCCTGGGCACCCTCTTCTTGAGGGGGAGTCGGTGCAGCCTCGCAGCAGCGTCCCTGTACCCCGAACCCCTAAGAGTGCACTAGCACTGAGTGCAGGGAGCCGCCCTTGCTCTCGGCGGCGCTCGGGGCCGACGTCTCCAACAGCGGGGCTGCGGGCGAGGCTGCGGCCGCCGCGGAGCACACGGTGGACGGCGCCGGCGGCTGCTGGGCCGCCGCGGGGACAGCGAGCGCAGGTGGCGGCAGCGCGGTCACGGGCGGGAGCGCTGGCGTGGGCTTGATGGGCACGGGCACAGCCGGCAGTCCCTGGCTGGCCGAGTGGCACAGGGCCTTCACCGGCACCCCGAATGCTCCGTACTCCGGGCCCACGGGGACCCCAGCCGCCGCGGCGGCGGCGGCGGCGGCCACCGAATCCATGACGCCCACGTGCGGCCACACGGAGCCGACGACGTTGCCGAGCTGGGCCGGCACCGGGTAGCCCAGGTGGTGCATGACGGACGCCAAGGGCAGCCCGCCGGCCTGCAGCACGCCCTTGTAGTCCCGGCCGATGATGTTCTCGATGGCGAAAGGATGCTTGAAGCCGGACGTGGAGGCCGCGGCGGCGGCGGCGGCGGCTGCCGAGCCCAGTCCGTAGGGCGGGAACTGGGACAGGCGCCCCACGCTGCCCACGGCCGCCGCCGCCGCCGCCGCCGCCGCCGCCGCCACGGCCGCAGCCTCGTGCACCTTGCCGGGGTGGGACGGCGGTGGCGCCTGCGCCTGCGACTGCGGGGCCGGCGGGGCTTGGGGCGCGAGGTGTGGCGGCGGCGGTGGCGGCGCAGGGGGCGGCTGCTGGTGGAAATAGTGCACCATGTGCGGCGGCGGCGGCGGCGGGTGGTGCTGGTGGTGGTGCTGGTGCTGGTGGTGGTGCTGGTGCTGGTGGGGGTGGTGCGCGTGGTGCGCGTGCAGCGGCCCCCGGGGCCCCGCGCCCGCCGCGCCCTTGCCGCTCCCCGCGTGCAGGTGCGCGTGGTCCGCGCGCAGCACCTTGAAGCGCTTGCGGCGCCGCAGGAAGCTGCCGTTCTCGAACATGTCGCCGCAGTCGGGGTGCAGCGCCCAGAAGCTGCCCTTGCCGGGCTGGTCGGGCCGCCGCGGGATCTTGATGAAGCAGTCGTTGAAGGAGAGGTTGTGGCGCAGGCTGTTCTGCCAGCGCTGCGTGTGCTCGCGGTAGTAGGGGAAGCGCTCCATGATGAACTTGTAGATGTCGCTCAGCGGCAGCATCTTCTCGGCCGAGTGCTGGATGGCCATGGCGGTCAGCGAGATGTACGAGTAAGGCGGCTTCTGGTCGCTGTACGAGCTCTTCCCCGGCCGCGGCATCGCGCCCGGCTGCCCCTGCGCCCTCCGGCCCACGCGGGCCCGCGGCGTCGCCCCGGCCCCGGCCCCGGCCCCCACGCCGCCCGCCCCGCCCTGCGCCCCCGCCCGCCCGCCGACCCCCGGGCCCTGGCCGCCTCTTCTCCGGGCCGTCGCCGCCGCCGAGGGGCCGGCGGTCCCCGCTCTTGGCCTCAGCTCTCGGGCCCTCGCAGCGCCTGGTCGCGATGGTCACCCAGGGGCAAGCACCGGCTCGGGCAGGACGCGCCAGCTTCACCGTCGTCTTCTTGCTCAGCGTCCCCCGCACCCCGGGCGGCTAGAGACAGCGCCGAGCCGGCCGCGGCGGCGGGGATGGAGCGAGGCCGTGCTTCCTTCCGGCCCCTTCCGTCTAAAGCCACCCGGGCCGCGGTTACCGAGGAAGGACCTGGCGGCGGAGGCTGCGCCCCGCGAAGCCGGGGTTCGCGCCGCCGTCCTGGAGGCGACAGAGCTCCCCGCGCCCCGAGCGCCGCGTCCGGGCCTGGCCAGCCGGTCCGCGCTGCAGTTCCGTCTCTCCTGGAGTGCAGAGGCAGGGAAAGTCGGGGAGAGGCGCCTCCCCGGCAGCCCGCGCACCCCGTTTCCCCGGAGAGCTCAGAGGAGCGGAGGAGGCAAGGAAAGTTTGGTGGGTTCCGCGGCCGCGGGGCCCAGGCTCTGCAGCAAGTCCGGGGCGCAGGACGCGGGGCGCTAGCGGCCGGCTTTAGGGGGCGCCGCGAGGGCCCGGCGGGGGCGAGGCCGCCCGACCCGTCCCGCCGTCCACGCCGCAGCCGCCGCCGCTCTCCCAGGCGGGGCGTAGCAGCAGAGGCGGCGGCAGTGGTAGCGACGCGCTCTCCCGGCAGCGTTTTGTAATGGTCCCTGAGACGCCGAGACCCCTGCAGCTCGCGCTTCGAGACAATCACATGACCGAGGCTGGGGGACTCCGCTGCTGCCGCCGCGCCTCTTGCAAAAGGAGCTCGAAGGCGCAGTGCCCCCCCCCACCCCCTCCTCCCCCCTATTCCGGAGCCCCCACTGCTAGCCCTCGCCGCAGCCGAGAGGCAGAAGCGCAGGCTGCTCCTTGGGAGGGGGCGCCGCGATGTGTGTTCCCTATAGTTGCGCCCCACCCGGGCCTTGAAGCGCTGTAGACTGGGACAACAAACTGGCTTCTGGGTCTTCTGCTTTCCTGCGTCTGTGGTTCCCTTTTGCCCTTCCTTCTTTCCACCTAGGAGCTGGGCTCTTTTTTCCAGTTAGCAACCGGGGTCAAGTTCAGAGCACCTTGTCCTCAAGCCCTCTTCTCTAAAGAAATCCCGGCGCCCGGAGAACTGCAAGGAGAAGCTAATAAGGAGAAAACTTGGGGAGCATTTTCCTTAAACGCCAAGTTCATCATAATTTTGTTGTATAATACCCGCCAGCTACAGGGAGGCCCATTCAGCCCGTAGCGTTTGAGAATAGCGGTCTAGAGGGCGAGACAGACGGGTAACCAGGAAATTAAAATAAGGGCTTGGTAGACAGAGACCCTGCCACACTTCCCCCAAACGTGGGTTGAGAAGCATGAGGTTTCGCTGGACAGGAAGACAGCTGAGTTTGATACAGAAGAGTGGGGAGCTCAGGGGTCCCACCATCTGAGTGTGCAGGAAGCCTGTTGTGCTTAGCATGAGAAGGGGAAGGGGGAGGAAAAACATGCTTTAGGGCGCCAGCATGCTCAGTCCTGGGGCCCTGATGTGGCCTGGGAAGGAAGGGTGACGAACCAGGGATCCTTCTCAGCACCGTGCTGAACACTGCAGCGCAAGACAACTGACTGTGAGGAGACCCTGAAATTACAGTGTGACTTCGAATGAGGTATCTGAAGCTGGAAATTTCACAGGTTCTTTCCAGTTCCGTTATTTGAGGAGAAACTAACAGTAAGAGCCTATGGTTCACTGATTCTAATTTCTTTCCCATGCTTAAACCTGTAGGCCCTTAGCCCCAGGCTCCCCCCCCCCCAGCCTGGCTCTTCCGCAGTCTTGGGTTGCCAGTGGGGTGTGTTCAGCTTCTGGCTTTCCCTGAGCTGCACAATGAGCACAGGTCCAACGGGTCTTAGCTGGGTCCTAGGAGTGGGTGAGCGGGCAGGCTCACAGTTTCCTTTGTTAGCCAGGGGTTCGCTTTCTGGTGGGTGCTGCAGGGTGCATTGTGCTAGGCTAACAGACTTCCTAGAACAGGTGTTGAGGTGAAGCCTGTAAGAGGACCCTGGGGGAAGAAGCGATCTCTTGACCTGGCATAAGAGGAGGAGGGTGCCTTCACTTTCATGCCATGCCAGAAACGTGCCTTCTGCTAAGGAGTTTCTGCGGGAGTTTGGTTCAATGAAATGGGTAGAGGAGCTAGCAGGAAAGTCTCCTGGCTTGGAGAAGTCAGAGGAATTCCTAGGGCAGCCAGGATTAGAATAACAGTCAGGGCCGGATGAAGTTGGACTGTCCCTTCTCCTTTGACTTGGGTGATTCGAGAAAAGTCCTGTCCTAGCTCAGGAGTCTGCTGCCAGCTTAAAGTGGCTTCGGAGAGCTCCATGTGAAGTCCTAAAGGTTTTGTGGGCCTGGACCTACATGCAGCTCAGGCAAAGAGATCTTTTGTTGATGTTTCTTGACAGTAGCTCACTGTTGGGGTCCTGTAGTTTTTCTAGCATCTAGCAGTTTGGGGTAAGTTTCTCCTTGGTCAAGTGGACCATTGGTGTAGTAGGGACTGGGCATCAGAAAGGGCGCACGTTACTTCCCGCGCATAATGTGACCCTTGAACCTTGAAGCTGTGAGCCAGCCGCTTGCCAAGGTTACAGTAGTCACAGACTGAGGCCCAGCGCCACCTCTCAGGTTGGGTACCCAAGGACCCAGGCCTTGAGGTCAGTTCTGCTTTGGGAGAGGTAGTAGATAAGAGCTCCTGCCACCCTGTAGGTGAGCGCTCCCTCTTCCCTTCCTATCCGCGAGGTAGGTAGATTTAAGCCAGGCAAGTTATGCTGGTGGGCAGGAGCATCAGGACATGCGCACTCCAGCTGCCCGAAGACCCTAAGAAAAACAGATCATGTAACCAGTTCAGCTGCACGAACCAGTCGGTTTTAAGTTTCTGTGTGTAACTTTCTTTTTCTTTTAAAATAACTACTTACTACTCTTAACTAAACATGGCTGGTCAGTCAATCTCTGCCCCTGGCTTGGCGTGATTATCTCACTGGCTTTTGGTTTACTCCTTAGGCAGTTGTTGGCAACACTTTGCTAGCAAGAGGGGTTCCACAAGGTTTTGTTGCATTTAATTGGCTCAAAAGGAACTTTGGGACAGGCTACTCATTCATTCTTTCTCCCTTTTCCCTCTAAGCCCCTAAGCGGTCCCGTACACTTCTTTGCCTGGATCTAGCCAGACCTTCCCAAGGTTTCCACTGACAGCTGTGCCCAGCCTGGAGCGAGTGAACGCTGGTTACAGCCAGGGTTAGGAGACAGGAATAGGAAGAAGACAAAGGTTCACAGCTGCCTCTCGATTATCAGCGGTTCTACTCGTTGTCCTCTGCCGCGTGGAAGTTCGCCTGGGTTACATCTGGGTTTCCTTGGAGCCTCCACAGTCGCCCCACCCTGCCGCTCACCTAGCCTTCCCCTGACTTCCGGCACCTGCTCTCCCCAGCTGCATGGCCCGGAGTGGACTCCAAGGCGGGACAAGCCCGCCCCACGTCTGGGCGGGAACGCTTGGTTCCCAGCCCCCTCCTGAGGCATCATCAGCTGGATGACCCTAGAAGCTTCGTTTGCTCTCTTTGGGCTTCCTTTGCTTTGCAGAAAGGAGATCAGCAGTGGTCAAAACTTGCCTTCAAAGCCCCGCGCTCTAGGCACGGAAGCTTGGAGTTGTGGCGCGGACCTTGGAGAAGTGAGGGAGGCCTGGGCGCTGCACACAGTGCGCTCAGGACCTGTCTCGCGGGACACGTGGCAGGGCAGTCACTGTCACAGAGTCCTAGCAATCTGTCGCCTGCAGCATCGCTACCCGCCCTGACAGCCAGCAGAAGTACGTCCTTCCCCCACGCCTCGGAGCATGGACCCCTGCGTGCCCCCGCTTGGCGGGAGTCGGGGCGCCCGCACGAGTTCCCGCCCTGCGTGGATTTGCGCTGCTGGGCTTGATTTGCCTTTCCGGAATTTCTCCCACCTCCAGCCGGTAGCAGGCAGAAACACGCAGGCTGAGCCTGGAGAATTTGTTTCTTAGAAGAGAAAAAGCACTGGCCTTGAATTTAGTTTTGGAGACTGGAACTCCAGCGTGGTCACCTACTGGTCAGTGCGACTGCTTCTTCCTGAGCCTCAGTTTCCTGTACACCCTGTTGTTGCCTTGTGGCGCGATGGCGAGGAGCGAGATTATCATGGTGAGATTTTGAGAGGGAGCTGGGCGCGTTCTCCGGGCAAACCCCGCCGAAGTCGCTTGCGTGCCCGGGGTGACAACGCGCCCTTTTAAGTGTAACGCATCACGGCTGAGCCAGATGCTGGTCTTGCTTTTCGTCGGTTCTGGGTTCCAATGTTTTCTCTTTCCAACACAGACTGCACCCCAGAGAGTTACTAAAAGGAGCCAGAGAGCGGTGCGTGAGCGGGCGGATGCGCTCGTGTCGGGGTCCCGCGAGGCTGCTCGCGGCGCAGGGCCGTGGCGAAGTGATGCAGCCCCGTTTTCGTTTCCCCGAGTCTGCCCCCCGCCCCCGTCGCAAGCTAGAGGGGTTCGGTCCTTTGAACTGCGGGTGGGCGCGGCTGAATCGGCTCCAACCTCCAGGTGCAGAGCGCCCCGCGCAGGGCTGGGCGGCGCGGGCGCGGGGTCACAGCACGGTGCGCCCCCACTTTCTCCCCGACCCTGGCCTCCATTTGGTGGCATCTTTCTCTGCCTCGGAAATTCACGCCAGTTTTAAAACTTCACTTTTAAAACTCCAGTGGCGCCTCCTGTCGGGCACTCCCGGCGCCCCGGAGACGCCGCGGGGAGAAAGCGCGGGAGGCTCCGCGGGCCCCTCCAGGTGCCCTTCACCCCAG